GGTCATTTCGTATAAAAAGAGCTAGGGGAACTCATTAGCATAACTCATTAGCATATGCCACACCCCCTGACATCACCGGAAGTGTGTCATAAGGCCACACCCCCTGACATCACCGGAAATGTGTCATAAGGCCACACACCCCATTCCCAACGGTCCCGGCCGCCACCGCCGGCCTTGCAGCTCCACTGCCAAGCCCCATGAGGGGCCTGGCGGTGGACCTGCAAGGCCGGCGGGAGTGCAAGGAAGCCCCGCCAAGGCCCTCCCTGGCCCCAGGCAGGCAGGGGTGGGGAGAGGCGGGGGGGAAGCAACTTACCCTCCCTCTTCTCCTGCCTCCTCCTGGCTGAATGAGGGCCGGAAGCGGGGCGGCCGGAAGCGGGGGGGCGGGGCTTCGTCATGTGCCCCGCCCCCCGTACTTCACCCGGGGGAAGTGCGTTCCCCCGCGTTCCCCCCTGAAATGACCTCTGGCTGAAACCTTATCAATCACAGCTCATTCCCTTAACCACTGCAGCCCAGCCAGATCTTAAATCGCTATAGTCATTTTTCCCCCTTTGGAAAGATACAGCAGTAGAGAGGTACTAGCGTTCCTGGTAAAAACTGGGGAAGGATATGCAAGCCAACCTTAGATTTCTGAGGAACAGCCAAATGCAAATAAACAAACTGTTATGTATTCAGCCTGACATGCCCGGACTTGCCCGGGCTGGCCAGGCACAACTCTTCAATAGCTTCATGTCCAAAGACAATGGGTCTGTAGGATCCTAGCCGGCCCAATCAAAGGGCCAGCTTCTCAGCCGGGAGACCAATGGTCGCCCGGCTACTGTAAATAGCCTATCGGGAGTAGGGGGTGTGTTTAGGTGTACTTGGTGGCGGGTTTTCTGAACCTATATAACCAGCCTGCGAGCTGGTCCCTTCGTCTTTGTCCTGAACTAAATAAAGGTATGCTTAGCTGAAATCACTCTCCGTCTGCATACTTTTCACTGGCGACGAAGGTGGGATACACGACCCCATGAACAAAGACCCGGACGCCAACGCGAGCACCGCACCGAGCCCCGACGCCGAGACCTCCGGGAACCGCGCCGCTTCGCTTCCCAGCTCTCCGGCAACCGCTCATCGCGCAGCTCCCGGCTCCGCTTCGCTCCCTGCTGACCCCGAGAGCAGCAGCGCCCTCCACAACGCTCCCGACGCCATCGCCGTTCCAGAGGCCACCCCACCACGTGGCTGCAACACAATGGCGACCGCGACCGCAACTGAAAGCCTGCCCGCTTTCGATCTCTCCCAGCCCTCGCTGTGGGACACCTGGCTGGACACGCTGGAGAGCCGCTTCACCATCCACAAGGTGGTGGATGACGCGATGAAGAAGGCTTACCTGCTGAGCCACTGCGGAATCCAGACCCATCGGCTCCTCAAGGACTTAATCTCGCCCAAACTAACGAAGGACGAGTCATACAGCTCCTTAGTCCAGGCCCTGACCGACCACCTGGCTCCCAAACCCACGAAGTACGTGGAGCGGTTGGACTTCTTCGCAAGAGTTCAGGCCTCCGGCGAAACCACCTCCGATTTTCTGGCGGCGCTGCGGAGCCTGGCGACCCGATGCTCCTTCCCCAGCCTCGACGATACCCTCCTGAACCAGTTCCTCGTCGGACTCCGGGAGCCGAAGCTGCAGAGGAAACTGGTGAGCCAGAACGATCTGAGCCTGGACAAGGCCATCCGGGAGGCCTCAGCATACGAACAAGCGCGACAAGACCGCCGCGCCAAGGCGGTCCACCGTACCCAAGTGAGCAGCGGCTCCGACGTCTCGGACCAAGAGGAAGTCCTACAACTCCGACAGCGGACTCAGCAGCGATCAAAACACGTATCCTCCAGGACCTCCAAGGCCCCGTCTCCAAGTCAGTGCGCCAGCTGCGGGGAGGATCACGAACGCAGGTCGTGCCGTTTCCGGAATGCGGTCTGCCGTTCCTGCAACAAGGCAGGACACATCGCCAAGGTCTGCCGGTCCAAGGGACAACGACCGAGATCGGCCACCCACCAGACCACCGCGGAACTGCCCCTGGAGCTCCACACCGTGTCGTCCCACTTTCCACAGCACCAGGTCTGTAACCTGCCCCCCGACGGCCCAAATAAAATGCATGTGACGGTCCTCATAGAGGGAGCCCCCTGCACCATGGAGATCGACACCGGGTCGACCTACTCCATAATATCCGCGGACACGCTCCGTGCACTGTGTCCTCGGGGGGGGCCACCACTACAGAAGTCACGGGGTTTCCGGTTACGGGACTTTAACAAAAACCCCGTGGCGGTGGTGGGCTGGGGCAAGTTCCGGGTCCAGTTTCAGGGCTTCAAGGGCCAACTGGACCTACTGGTTGTGGACCGGCCCCTCTCCAGCTTGTTGGGACTGGCCTGGTTCAAGGCCCTGGGGCTCTCCGTTACGGGCATCAACCAGGTTGGAGCGCAGGATTTCGGGGCGGTGTGCGCAGAATTTCCCCGCATCTTCGATGGGACCCTGGGGCGGTACACGGGCCCTGCCATTTCCCTGGACCTAGACCCCGCGATACGCCCCATCCGCATCAGGGCCCGGCTGCCCCC